CTTGCACAGTGACGGGCGCCTCTGGCAAAGTGGTCAGGAACGTGGACTCGGAAGCCACACAGGCCTGATGTCGCTGCCCAGCCGTGTTATTTACCTGCTGTGCGGCCTCAGGCAGGTGACTTGACCTTTCTGAGCAGCAGTTTTCTTATACGTAACATGAGGCTCTTAATGGTAGTACCTCCTTGATGTAAAAATTAATGGAGGGGATCAGACTGTCTTTGGGTGTCCCCTCTGGGCTCTGCTGCCTCAGCCCTGGACTCAGCTGGTTCCATTTTCAGGCACCCCTGGGGACAGCGACGGCCCAGTGGCTCCAGGCCTGCCTCTGGCCCTGCTGGAGGCTGGCAGCAAGCAGGGCAGGGGACACCTCAGCCGATGTCTGGGCAGTTTTGCTGCATTTTCTTGGCTGACTTGCGCATCTCCCTGGCCCTGAGCCAGCCACTGTGCTCCTGTCGGCCAGCGTGAGTCACCCACCCACCTCAGAGACAGGTGGCATTCTCGCCATTGAATCTTGCAGCCTGGGAATGGGGGCGGAGAAATTCGGGAAGCGTGAGCCCTGTTATGGGAGGGCCATGACGGTGGGGACCCCCAAATGTCCCCTCTAGGCAGAAACTGCCTCTTTCGCCAGAAAACTGCCGCAGGCTACCAGGGGCTCACTAAACAGTGGCTGAGTGAGGGAACAGGGGAAAGCCGATTTGTGGCGGCTTAGTGGGGGCTCAGGTCAGTCCTGGGGGGTCCCGATACCTCTCGGAGCGTGGCTGGCTCCTCCGGGAAGTGGACATGTTGGCTGACACCTGCCTTGCTGGCCTGTGGGCAGATGGAGTTTGGGCAGTTGCAGTGGCCCGGCTGCCACACACGCTGTCAGCTGTGGTTGTCGTGTATCTTTAGTAAATGGAGCCGGAGGAGCAGGGAGCTGGGCACTCGCCAAGAGGGGCCTGTGGGGGAGACTCAGCTCAGGCAGGCCGGCCTTGGATCCAGCCCTCACCCCGCCCCTCTAGCTCTGTGTCCCCAGGCAAGTCACTGTGCATCTCTGAATCACAATGTCCTCATCTGTAAACTGGGGACGCTGACGTTTATCCCTGAGCCCTGGGTGGAAGGTGAGGTGAGGGACTGGGTGGCGGCCTGCCCTGTGGCACGGGCGAGTGCTCACGCAGCGTTTGCTGCTTTTATCATCGGCGTCATGGTGTCCTCTGGGGCCTGCAGGTGATGGGTCTCGGCCAGGCTTTTTGGGACTTTGATTGGGGCCAAGTCACCACGTGCCACGATCGCGCTCAGCCGTCTCTGGCTGGCGCTTGCCTCTGGAACCCAAGCTTGGTGCCTGGTGCCCCGCAGCATGGAAGCCGCAGCCCTGTGGCCAGTGCGGCCTTTTAGGGCGGGGCGAGCTGGGATTTTTTAGTCGTGGAAGAGGGACTCTGCCCGCACCTCCCCCACCTCCAGGAGAAAACACTCCTTTTAAGGAGACCCAGGGGAAGGTGCCTGGCAGCCTCCTTCACCAGCCCTCAGGAGTGGAAGGTGAATGGTGGAGGGGTGGCCTTTGCCCCCAGCACAGCCCCGCCTGCTCTCCAGCGGAGGCAGCCGGGGGGCGGGGGCGGCTGGGAGAGCTGGTCAAGGCCCCCAGGGGCCCTCTGCCGTGCCTCGGGCTTGCGGAGGGTCTGTGCGCAGGGTGAAAGGATGTGTTGATGGTCCTCGAGTGGGGCAGGTGTGTGTGTGCATGTACTAGAGACAGACAGACAGACAGACAGACAGCCTGACTGCCTTACTGATGGGGTGTGAGGGTGTTCTGAAGAAGCTTCCAAAGTTGAATTAGGGGGGGAGGACGCCTCCCAAGGTGAACTCTAGGACAAGGGCTGAGCCCGCGGAATGGCCCCACGTGAAAACCCCATCGCTGAACTGGGCCGATGTGGAAGGTGTCGCAGACTCTGGGATGGAGGAGGGATGTGGCCACAGGGGCGCAGGCCCAGCAGCAGGACCGCCGGTGGTCAGACCCAGCTTCGTCACCAGAGTCGCCGGGGACTCTGCCTCGGTCTCCTCATCCGGACAGGAGCTCATAATAGCAGCTGCATGGTCGGGTTAGCCCATGTTGAAATGGAAACCGAGCGAGGTCCCACGCAGAGTGGGCCCATGAGGAAGTGTGGACTTTGCAACTCAATTAACTGAAACATTTACCTGAACTGAGAAAAAATTTACGAACGAGTGTAAAAATTGCCGATTGGCAGGACTCCCTTCTAGAAGGCTCCCTGGCGAGATGGAATGCGCGGTTCCTGCTGCGCCCGCAGAGGTGCCCCGCCTCCCCCTGCCGGTGCTCGGGGTGGGTCACTCCAGCTGGACCTCGAGCTCCTCGCGGCCACGGTCGGGCGTCCGTGCCTCCGGGCCGTGGGCGCCCTGTGCCGTGGGGGCCTGGGACAGCGTGCGCGTGTCTGTTGGCACCTGTCTCAGAGGCTTCTGAGTTCGGGGGCTGACAGGGAGCGCTTGTGCAGTGGCAGAATCTTGCAAGTTAGAGGATCCAGATTCACAGGCTGATGCCACTACCCTAGTTCCAGTCATGTCCCCTCTCCCAGCCTGGACTTGCCTGTCTGTAGAATGGGGACACTGAGGAGCTGGTTCCTGTGGCGATCACGTGAGGGGACGCGAGTGCCCATTGTCGCCCTTGGGGAGCTAGGTGTGCCGAGCAGATGGCCACGGGCGATTCGGGCGGATCCGGTTGCGTCCGTTGGTGTGGCGTGTGCTGCCGTAACCGGGGAGATCCGAGGCAGGGGCCTCCCGCCTCTCCTCCGGTCTGGCCTTGCTCACATGAGAGGAATTCACGCGAGAGACGACACATACAGTGGAAATGAGATAACACGTCTATTTATGAAACACAGGAGCACCAGGCTGCAAGCAGGCACCCCGCTGGTCTGAACCCCACGTGCCGGGGAAGAAAGTTGTTAGGAAGTCTGTTCCCTACACTTGAGCCAAGGCTGCAGGGGGGCACTCAGCTAACCTGAGTGTGCCGACTGTCGGGGTTCAGGGGTTTTATGCTTTATAAGTTCAGCTTCTAGACTCTCCCTTCTCCTCCCCCTCCTAAACCTTGGGAATAGTGTACAGCTACACAGGCTTTCTTCCTCAGCAAGTAAAGCCTCTTTGTCTTAGTGACAAAGTCACTTAGTGAAGTTGCTGCAGAAGCTCCCTTTCCCAGTAGAGTCTCAGGGACTCCCCCCTGCCCCCCACGTCTTGCGCTGTCCCTGCTTGTCTTGCGCCGTCCCTCTTGGTGTTCGGAACACCCGGCGATCCTCTGGGGACTGCTCGGGACTGCTGAGCCAGCAGGTGAGTCTCGGCTCCCTCCGCCTCCCTGCCTTCGCTGACTGCCTGTCCCACCTGACACTGCTGTCCCCAGGGAGGCACCTCGGCGGAGCCTGACAGGGCTGCTGCTCAGGGTGTCCCTGGCAGCCTGCCTCCCGGCGGATCGCTGGTCAAAGGCTCCGGACGAGTGGCCGGCTTTTAGGGCCCATGTAGCAGGAAGGAGCACGCTCTCTAAACAAACACCGGAGCCCTGAGCAGCACGTGGGGCTCACGGGACCACCTGAGGGGACTTTGGGTCCTGCTCCCTGTTCTTGGACCTCACCGTGGGTGGAATTGCGTGTGTCCTTGACATGGCTATTTCTCTCGCTCTCTGTTTTAAAATCATTGTAAAGTATGTGTAACATACAGCCATTTTTAGCCATTTTAGCCATTTTTAAGCGTATGATGCAGTGGCATTAGGTACATTCACAATGTTGTCCAACCTTCCCCACTGTCCATTTCCAGAACTTTCTCATCATCCCAAACAGAAACTCTGTCTTCATTAAACACTAGCTCTCCATTCCCCCAGTAACCAACCCCTAGTGACCTCTAGTTGGTTTTTGGGCTCTGAATTTGATGACTCTGGGTACCTATAATAAGTGGAACCATACGGCATTTGCTCTTCTGTGACCGGCTTATTTCACTTAGCATGATGTCTTCAAGATTCACCCAAGTTGTAGCACGTGTTGGAATTTCCTTTTTAAGACTGAATAATATTCCATCCAATGTTGGGACCATGTTTTGTTTATCCGTTCATCCCCTGATGGCCGCTCAGGCGGCTTCCGCCTTTGGCCCCTGGGAACGGCGCTGCTGCAGGGTGCTCAGCCTCAATCCCGGCTTTCGGTTTTTTGCGTATTTATTCCCAGGGGTGGAAGTGCCGGGCCCTAGGCTAGCTCTGTGTTTCTGCCAGACTCGCCCACGGTGGCCGCGCCATCTTACATTCCCTGCAGCCACGCACAAAGATTCCAGTTAGTCCACATCATCGCCAACACTCATTTGTCATTTTTAAAAATTATAGCCATCCCTGTAGGTGTGAAATTCTCTTTCTCTTTTTCATCAGGGAAGAAATAGTTGTTCTGCCCACGTGAAATGCATCTAAGAAGCACTTCCGGTGTAACTGTGGTGGGCACTTAAGACCCCTTTTCATTTTACTTTTAATGTGTATGTAATGATACAAAGAAATGCACGCAAGGTTCCTATTAATATGTTAAACAATACGGACAGCGTGAAAGGCCCTTTGACTCTCTCCCCAGCCTGCTGTCAGGCAGTATCTTTCCAGAGTTTTCCATGCATTTACATGCATGTGAGCATTCATGAAAGTGTCCTTTTTTCCACTTTTGTATAAAAGGACCACGTTGATTCTTCAGTGACTTGGAATTTTTACTGAACAACTCAACAGTCTTTCCCTGTTGGCATTTGTGGAGCTATGCCTTCGGGTATTTTTGTTTATCTCATATGTGTCCATCTTTTAAAATACGTAACGTATTATCATACACGGAACGTCGTTTCTCACGCACGCTGTGAGCACAGGCCCTGGCCAAGGGCGGCGCGTCTCCCGCAGCAGCCCCCGACCCCCACTGGACATCTGGCCCCCGTTTCCCCGCTCCGCGGCCTCCCTGAGCTGGCGTCCAGGGGTCCGCTTCCTGCCGAGCCTGCCTTGTTGACCTCTCGTCTCTGCTTTGCAGGCCAAGAACAAAGAGACGGGCGACTTGGCCGCCGCCAAAGTGATCGAGACCAAGAGCGAGGAGGAGCTGGAGGACTACATGGTGGAGATTGAGATCCTGGCCACGTGCCACCACCCGTACATTGTGAAGCTCCTGGGAGCCTACTACTACGACGGGAAGCTGTGGGTAAGGGTGCCCCCAGCCCGCCCCGCGGCTCCCCCGGCCTGGCAGCGGGCCTCACTCAGCCTTTCCTCAGCATCTGCCTGGAGGGCGAGGGCCAGGGCCAGGGCAGGGAGAAAGTGAAGTAGGGGGGCTTCCGGGCCCCCTGCCCCTCTTCGCTGCGCAGCCTCCCCACTGCCGGGGGCGGCGACAGCGGCTCAGAGCAGGAAGGAGCTCCCAAGTTCTCCCGCCTGGCCTCGAATCCTGGCTCTGCGCTTACGAGGTGCATAACTCTGGGCGAGTTCTTCACCACTCCGTGCCTCAGCGTCTCCATCCGTAAATGGGATAATCGCCGTACCTAGCTCACAGAGTTGTTGGGGGATTAAGTGAATTAATTCCTGCTAGGCGCCCGGCACAGGGGAGTTGGCTACCGTTGTTACTTGTAGTGGTAAAATCGTCTCCTCCGCTGTGGTGGCGGCCACATGGGGGTTTCTTTCAATGGCAGCACCAGGGAAGGGGCCCCTTAACAGCCCTGTCCATCCTCTCCGCTCTCCCAAGGGCCCTGGGTTTTCTGGGACTGCCCTGCCCGCTCAACAATACCTTAGTTTGTAAAACCCAGACTTCCTGTCTTTCCAAACGTTTCTCAGCCAGTATTTTATATATAAAACATGTTTGTGTCGCCAAAACTCAGTGCGGCTGGAACAAAATGGTGTGCCGGAGAAGGCTCTGGTGCTCCTGGATGCAGGTGGAAGACTTGCCGAGCCCCACGGCGACCTTTTGCAGAGGTCGTGTGGGCTCAGTGGGGCTGGTGGGGCCGATTGGTGCCGGCGGTGCTGATCGGGGTGGGGTGGGGCGGTGGCCTGGCCCGCGTTCCCGCACACAGCGCGCCGTCACTGGCAGCTGCTAGTGGTGACTCGGGGGTCAGCAGGGGCCGTTTTCATGCATTTTAGCCCCTGCTTTATGACGTGTAGAAAGCATGCTAGTGTGTTTTAGTTACATTTTAGGAAATCAGTGGGGAGTTTGGAGCTGACAATGTAACGCTTTATGATTTTTCTACTTAAAATAATGGGAAGTCGGCCTGCACTTGGCTTTTTTTCTTTTCTCTGCAAAGAATGCCTGATTTTGACGACAACGACTGATGTTTAACAGGGAAATCTGGGGAAAGGGTCCTGCTGTCTCAGAGACCGAGGGGGTCTAGAAATGCCGTTGACGCGTGTGCCCCCCGGGGACGGGGATGAAGGAAGACCATCTGACGTGGGGCGAGGACTTGGCCCCCCGCCCCCCCAGAGCTCTGTCTGATAAAACTGGTGCCCCCCCCGCCCCCGACCAGAGCCAACTTCCCTTCATTCTCTGAGCATCTCCTTGGGAGGCCTCCTAGATGTCACTGTGGGGGGATAGAAGCACCACGAGCTGGTGTCACCTGCAGGTTCAAAGCTCCTCCTTGTCCCCTGTTTCCCGGCACCTCTGGAGGAGAGCAGGGCAGGGAGACTGGCCACCCTTTTCCAGAGGAGGGGACAGAGGTCCGGAGGGGGCAGGCCCCTCGCTCACATCACACAGCGGAGGCCCAGGAAGCCACTGCCCATGCGTTTCCTTTGTCTTGATTTATGCTTTTCTTATTTTAACAAATTTAGCAATTACAATGGACCCCTGAACAACATGAGTTACAACTGTGCGGGTCCCCTTGCTGTCTGGAATTCTTCCAATAAATACCTGTGCTGTTTCCATCTGAGGTTGGGAGTCCGCGGATGAGGGCCGGCCATGCGCATTGGTCGACGCCATGTTGTCTAGGGGACTCGAGTATCCACAGGTTTCAGTGCCCATGGGGGCCCTGGAGCCAGTCCCCTGGGGATGTCGAGGGATGACTGGTGTAGCCAGTTTGGGGGAGTTGGAAATTACAAGCAGCCCTGGCTGGTATGGCTCAGTAGATTGAGCGCTGGCCTACAAACCAAAAGGTAGCCAGTTCGGTTCCCTGTCAGGGCACATGCCTGGGTTACGGGCCAGGTCCCCAGTTGGGGGCGTGCGAGAGGCAACCGACTGATGTTTCTCTCCCACATTGATGTTTCTCTCTTTCTCCCTCCCTTCCTCTCTCTCTGAAAATAAATAAAGTCTTTAAAAAAAAGAAAAGTTATAAGCAGATTTTCAGCTGCGTGTGTGGTGTCGCACTCCAAACCCTTGTTGGTCAAGAGTCTACTGAATATGTGGCCATCAAAGAAAAATAAGATTATGTAGAAAAGCAAAATAAAAAAGGATTAATACCATCCAAATTTTTATACCAGAGATAACCACTGATAATGCTTGGAATGTGTTTTCCTAGACTTTTTCTATGTATACATGCTCCCATATGCACAGTTTGGTTTTTCTTAAATGAACTTGTACCATAACTGGTTACTCATTTTTACCTTTCACTCTTCTCTTTTATATGGATGATCTATTAAAACTTTATCCTATCCTTAGGGGAACACTTGCATCTTTATGTTTTATCCTATAGAAACCCATCTCTAACTGTGCTGTTCTGTCTTGATGAGCATTCAGGCACTTCCTTTGTATTTTTCTGTTTATAAACAACTCTGGCAGACATATTCTGGGTCTTGTGTTGTTGCCCGGGAATGCCTTTAGGAGATTTTTTCCAGATTTCTCAGTGTCTATTGCCAAACCGGCTGCAAAGGCGTTTTCCCATCTTCCCGGTACCTGTCCACCCACTGATGTGTCCCTCTGTCCTGCTCTCCCTCCCGACAGCCTTTCTGGGGCTGCTGATCATGTGCCCATTAAGGAAAAGCTCTTTTATGTGTCTGTGCCCATTACTGATTGTGGCTGGGTACCAAGTTCATTACTTTCTCGGGTCCAAAGATAGTACAGCCGCAGCCGACATGTACCAAGGCCGTACTGTGTGCTAGGCCTTTGGCTGTGAGTTTTACTTGCATTGTGTCGTTTCTTCTTCAGTCTGTGAGGTTGTTATCTCCATTTTACAGATGAAAATAAGACACAAAGAGGCTAAGTCGCCCCCGCCCCCCCAAGGCCACACTGCTAGAAATCGGCAAAACTGGAAAACCAGATAGAGAAAAAGGACATTTTGTAACTAGACCGTGACTGCTGATGTCACAGCAGATATAGCAGAATTTTCTGTCCCCGAGTTGTCCCTTTAGGCTTGAATTTTCTCACCCAGGGCTGCTGCTATCGTGGAACCTGTTTCTTACCCTCTTGTTTTATAGCCACCTGTATGTAGAGCCTACATTTGCTACTTGCCAACCTGGAAAAGGAGCCACCTCCTCATTTTGGAGACTTGAGTTTTAGACACAATGACATCAAGGCAAGTGGCACTAGAACTGAGTGGATCAAGAGGGACAGAGGGTTTCAGGCAGAGCCAACAGCGTGGAGGCGGGGAAGGTGTGGCATGTTTGGGTGGCGGTAGGCTGGGGTTCAGGGTGCACGTGGTGAAGGTCAAGGGCCGTAAAGTAATTGGAGGCTGTGTTGTGCAGGGCCTGGAACGCCAAGGTGGAGGGTTTGCACTGGACCTTTTAGCTCTGTTCCCGAAGTGCAGCCCTTGGACCAGCAGTGGCACTGGGACCTCGTCCTGCTTTGCACACACCCCAAGCCCCTGCCCTGGGCCAGATTTCGGTCTCGGGGAAAGTCTCTTCGAGGCTTAGTCCTTTTTCCTACAATCATCACGGGAATGAGAGAATGGCATTCATGGTAAACGTTTAGCAGTCTTTCCCTGGGGCAAACAGCCCTGGTTTCCAGCATCTGCCCGTTTCGGGGATGTGAATATTCCCACCTTAGAGGCCAGGCTACCAGGGCGACGTCACTACCGCAGAGTTGGGGAGGACGTGCCCTCTGCGATGACGTGCTTCCGCCTCACGGACACAGTAGCTGCAAATCACTGCAAGAGCACAGATAACAGGCAAATGTGGGGGGAATAATTAGGAAAGTGCCGTGTTTTTTAGTATTTATCATCTTTGTCTTTAATACGATTTTCCAAACTGAAAGGCTATATAACTTAATTGTAAATAATGGTTGTGTTTCACAACTGGCTTATAAAAATTCCTGAAAACGTAAGTCGGTACTCAGGAGCCCGTGACCGACGGCTCCAGAATATCTCCAGAGCCGGACCAGAGCAGCAGTGACGGACCACAGAGGGCTGTCCCTGGGCGTCACGTGGCCAGCGTTCACTTGGAGACAGACAGCTGGGTTCCAGGGAGGGTCTGGGATTTACCCGAGGTCACGCAGCAGGTCAGTCCCGAGGCCGGACGTGCGGAGGCCCGCAACGGTCGTGGGAGAGAGGCCCCCCTCGTCACGCGGCCCCGAGGGAAGGCTTCCCACCGCTCCCTGCCGCCCTCCGGATGTATTTGTCAAGGGAAGAATGTCTAAACCTACAGGAATTTTATTTTATTTAATTTATTTATTTTTTAAGTATGTTTTATTGATTGGTACAACAGTTGCCCCCATTTTCCCCCCTTTCACCAGGTACCCTGTTCCCTCCAGTGATCCCCCCCCCCGTTAGTTCATGTCCATGATTTGTGCCTGTAAGTTCTTCGGCTTCTCCATTTCCTACACTGTTCTTAACCTCCCCCTGCCAATTTTGTACCTACCAGTTACGCTTCTTATTCCCTGCCCCTTTTCCCCCATTCTACCCCCGTCCCCTCCCCGCTGATACCCCTCCATGTGACTTCCATTTCTGTGATTCTGTTTCTGTTGTAGTTGTTTGCGTAATTTGTTTTTGTTTTTGTTTTTCAGGTTCAGTCGTTGACAATTGTGAGTTTGTTGTCATTTTACTGTTCATAGTTTTGATCCTTTTCTGAGATAAGTCCCTTTAACATTTCATATAATAAGGGCTTGGTGGAGATGAACTCCTTTAACTTTCCCTTATCTGAAAGCACTTTATCTGCCCTTCTGTTCTAAATGACAGCTTTGCTGGCTAGAGTAATGCATGACTTTGAATGCTTCTTTCCAGTCCCTTGCCTGTAAGTAGACCTACAGAAAATTTTTATAAGAGTTTATTTTAGTGGCCCTGGACGGAGGTAGAGGGGTGG